CTTTGGCACATTTACTGTAGAAATGATTGCCAGCACACCGATAACATTTAGGCTTTGCATAGCAATTAGACAAAGTATGCCCAAACTGCTGACAATTGTGGCATTGAGGAACATACTTTTTGTCCTTACTATGCTGGGCTTCAATAGTCACCGGCATGTAGCTAATCCTTTTAATTTGGTAAAATTTGTCAGCTTCATCTGGGAAGAGCCAGGAGTTTTATCAGAGAAGAGCCTTTGAGGCCGCTTCTCTGAGAGGGCTTGCACCTTTAGATTTCTCTAGGGGAGAAACGCAAAGATTCAAGTTCTTCCTGGACTTCCTCTAGGTCTTGATTTTTGTCTAGTCCTTTTATTACCACATTTATCATTTTCTCGTCGGGAAGAAAGTACGAGTGAAATTCAATTTTTTGTTCTTTGTTAATTTAGTTAGAAGTTATTTTGGTCTCAAAACATTTCTTAGGATGATTATGGAGCAGTTTTTTCAGGGGGATTGCTTTTCGTAGGTCTGGTTTCTGGATGACTCATTACATCTTACTCCAAATAGAAATTCATCTAACGAAGCTTGAAGTGTCTGTAATTGTTGTCTTAATATTTTATTCTCTTCTTCCAAGAGCTCAATTTCCTCTCTAATGAATGAAATGTAGATAAAGGAACTGAGGTATTTTGTATGCTTTGTAGTGTCGCAGCTTTCAACTCACCCTCTAGCTCCTTATCATTAGCTTCAGGAAATTGGATGGATTTTTCAGGAATATTCCCACATAACAAAATTGCATCCTTAGAATGTAATAAAAATGTTCTTTTTTTAGGAGGAATGTGCCTAGAATGTTCGCCAAAACCATTGCGAATGTCCTGAGAATGTTCTGTGAAAAGATTGTAGAAATACTGTTTGCAATACCCAAGAACTTCCTGGGAAATCCATTAGGATATTGCTAGAATATACCTATGAGATTCTCAGTAAATCATGAAAGGAATATTCTTGTTTGTCAAAAATATGCTCGAAATGTATATTCTCACATTCAAAGAATGTTTTTATGACATTATAGTTATGTTCTCAAAGGAATATTATACCAATATGCTTGAAATATTCTTAGGATATATCTACATATTATATCATTCTCAATATGCATCCTAGACATAACATTCTTGTTTGATTCTAAGGATCTATACTTGGACTGCTAATTTTCGCTTCCAAATAGTGCTCCTTTCAGCCCTTTCATATTAAAGGCAGTGAAAGAGTTGTTGGAAAACTTCTCTGGAAAACACAAGTGTTTAACCAAAGCTCCGGTTTCGAGCTTGTTATGTTCTCGTCGTGGTAAGCACGCCAACTGAGAGAAACAGGTTCCAAGGTGATTCAAACGCTAGGCAAGATGTAGATCTTTAATAGCGCGTGGCTCCCTCTCTTGGAAGTCCTACAAAGCAAAAGAAAGAGAACATACCTATAATATTCTAAGTAGGTTCTATACCATTTCCAGAATTATTTCACACTAGTGAAATTTGATTTCAAATTAATGAAAGCTTAATTCACATCAGTGAAATCTAATTTCGCTCAAATGAAAATTGATTTCTAAGTAACGAAAACTAAATGAAATTTAATTTCACATTTCCGAAAATGAATTTCAAACTGACCCTAATTTAATACTCATTTTTTAAACATTTATTATTTTAATTTGAAAAAACATCAACAACCTTATTTATTTCACCCTAATGAAATAAACCCATTGAATTTAAATAACATAAAATACAATCATGAAACAACAATAATAATGAGGAATTTGCACATATCTTTTTTTCTTCTCTTATTGAAGACTCCACATCGTAAAAATTTACTTGCCACATAAATTCTGAATTTTCAACTAATAGTTTATTTTCTGTAAAAAAAAAGAGAAATTCAAAATAACACTCTTCGCGCCAAAACGCAGACATAGATCAATGACGTCACAAGACGATATCCGTCAAAACGAGTCTCTGTGATCCCTCTGTCTTACCCATTGTGTTTTATGTCCGTCTCACGTTGACATAACCACACTTTTATTGATTTATCGTTCCATGACGTCATAACTAATTTGAAAGCGTTTTCGCGCACATTCTAAAGGTACGGTTTGTTAGGATAGTACGCGACGCACAACTGACAACGTAAATGTCGTCATTGGTTCAGGTATGACGTGTGCGTGCATCCGTTTTTTGACGCTGACGCTGACGTAGGAAAACGGGTGTACGTCATACCTGAACCAATGACGACGTTTACGTTGTCAGTTGTGCGTCGCGTACTATCCTAACAAACCGTACCTTTATATTCAATATTTGAATAATTAATAATTTATTAGTGGTTCAGTATAAAGAGGACTTGAATATAGAAATATACTTTTTAAGCATCAAAATAAAATGTTATGCAACTCCTCATTAGGTATACAATGAAGAACAACAAAAAGTCTATCTCACAATTCCAAAAAAGAATATATTTTTCAATTATTCATTGACTATACCATGGTTTAATAATAACAATAATTATAAATTATTTAAATAAATACAATTCAGTTAAGTCTGTTCACTCTTAAGACAGCTGCATAATACCTTTCCACGTGATTCGCGAAACTGAAGTTTAACTTATTTAAATAATTTATAATAATTATTATTGTGTTTCATGATGGTGATCAGTGGGTTTATTTCATTAGGGTGAAATAAATAACGTTGTTGATGTTTTTTAAAATTAAAATAATAAATGTTTGAAAAATGAGTATTAAATTAGGGTCAGTTTGAAATTGATTTTCGAAAATGTGAAATAAAATTTCGTTTTTGAGAAATTAGTTTTCGTTACTTTGAAATCAATTTTCATTTGAGCGAAATTAGATTTCACCGATGTGAATTTAGTTTTCATTAATTTGAAATCAAATTTCACTAGTGTGAAATAATGCTGGAAATGGTATAGATAGAGCATTATTGTTTAATTGTTCAAATAAGACTTTTGAGTAGGTACTTTAGATAATTAGGTTAACAATATGAAAATATTCTTATCATGCTTACCTACCTACATAAAGTTCTCAGCACAACTTGGTAGGTATATTCTTAATACTTGATAGAGATATTAGCCGAAAGGACATTTTTTATGGTACCTACATTATAATAATGTTCGTATGACAATATTCAAATAATGTTAGGTATATAAAGTAGGTTCTTAGCATAATCTTTCAGGTAGGTGTTCTATGCACATTCCTAGTACATAAATAGAAAGTTCAAAAATGAATATTTCAATCGGAACAATCTTAGAATATTCATTAAACATTCCTAAAAGAACATTCTAAAAAGCACTTTGAGGGAATATTCTGAGAATATGAATGTTCTTTCACTGTTATGTGGGTTGGCAAGGTCAGAATCATAAATTGGTGATTGAACCCCTTTCTGTATGAAACCTGCACAATAAAATGAGTTAGTTGCTTGTCTACAGTGGCGGTCCATACATGATTTTCTGGGGGGGGGGGGGGTAATGGATGAAAGGAAAATTATCAAGTGTCGCAACGTACCGCCGGAGGCGACATTCATTTTTTTTGGGGTGCCACGCTCAAATTTGCACCCGAAAGTCGTTCAAAAAACACGCCTCAACTGTATCCCAATGCCGTCAAAATAGTTAGGTATACAGGGTGTCCACTTAGTGCGATATGGGACGATATCTCCTTACAGGGTGATGCAAGAAAAAAAATTAAATTACAAAGTTGTTTGATTCTCTAAGGTGCATAAGTTAAAAATATTTTCAAATACTCAGGGTCCTCCGAGGGATAATCCGTAAATGGTGTATGCAAAAGAACTTTGTTATTTTTAAATGGAACACCCTATATTTCAGTACATTAATGGATCGTTGTAAAAATCCTACATACTTTTTGTTAGGAATCACCTATACCAAAACTTAACCGTTTTTGAAATATTTAATATTTTTTCAAAAAATCGCAGTTGGCATGTGTCAACAAAAACCAACAAATGGAATACCCTTTATCTCACTGTATAAAAGAAGGTACCTACGTCGATACTGTGGGTGAGCCTGTCATATTTAAACGATGCCTATGCTTTGTAGAACTTGTCTTTTGTTGTAACTAATAAATGTATGTAAAAAAAAATCTTTGTCTGGGGGGGGGGGGGGTAATTACCCCCTCTACCCCCCCTTTAAACCGCCCTTGCTTGTCTATGGCCTATACATGGAACCAACTTCTACAGAAATAAATTTACAGGTAGCAGGAACACACCAGGACTGGGACACCAATTTTCTTTTCACATTGAAGGCATTAAAATTGGAAAATCCTAGACGACTGTACTTGTAGTTTTATTTAGTAGGTTCCTACTTTGACTTGCAGCCTGGCGGTCTCTATTTCCTTATGTATATAGTAAAAGAAATTTTGATATGATACTTACCTATATATTTGATAATTCTTTCGCAGTGTTGCCAAGCTGCCGGTATGGATCGAATGCAGACAGAGTTGCAAAGTATACGAGTATACCCAACATATGGGAATAAAATCAAAGGCTCCTAGTTTCATCCATGCATCATCGAAAGAAGCGAAAATATAGGTCATGCCGTTACGAATTTTATTTTAAAGAATTAGTGACATTTTTATTAAAATTTTCACACTATTGTTTATTCGCTAGACAATAAAACCAACCGAAAATTAAAATTAGAACAATTATTAGCAACATCTGGTCATTAGATCTATTGTTTCAGGTTTGAAAAGCTAAAAATCCTCAATGTTTATTTTCACAGTTCTACTAAAAATTTTATTTTTAGCACATTGAGTTTATAGTGTCAATGATCTTGCAAAACATTAAAATAATCCTAAGCAAAAAGATTTTGATGAATCATTACATTTTCTATAATGTGATATCAAAATTGTATTAGTCTCCTATGCTCAGGTACAGACACTTACACACGTCACAATAATAATACATAATATAAATTACACATTAATTATTTTGGTGTCAAAGCAAAGTATAGGGGAAAATCCTAAATAAAACCAAGAATTTTAGTTTGAATAATTGATTTTTATTGTAAAAACTAAATTAAAAAAAAAAACACCCAAAATTGAGTGATCCGCCTTCACATTCACAATTTAAAATTACCTTATTTCATATCTCAATTGGTTTCGTAGAGATCTTTTAAAAAAAAAACGATTGAACAAAAAAATAATGGTGGTTTTTTCAATTATTTAAAGAAAATCGGTCAAATATATTATATACCATAAACATACAAAATATGGCAATAATAAAGTAGAAAACTTTCATCATCAAATCAATTAGCAGCCAATGAGATGTTTGGAAATATTTTACATTACGAGGTACCTTATTGGCTGTGGTTACTGATTTCTGATGGGAAATTAACAAAAAAAAAAAAGGAATATTATTAGAAACCAATAATGGTTTGGTTAAATTCATAGTGACTCGACTTTTCCTGACTAATCTGGCTGTAAAACTTAATTTTAGATTGAGAGCAGAATTTAGAACAATTAACCAGCCATAAACTGATCAACAGTTTCTATTTTGTAATATTTTGTTATAAAATCTGCTCCTTAAAAAAATCCAAACTGTAATTTTTTAAATGATATACTAAGAAATTTCACATAAAAATAATTCTACAAACTAATTAGCATAAAAAAATGAAACTTAAGACATTCCACTCTATTAACAAAAAAGAAAACAAGTTGTCTGTCTGTAGAGCACAAATCCTTAAATTATTAGATGTTTATTTGCCAAGATCCACGATTCAACTAATCAAACCTATTTCATTATTGGTAGGTAAATCATAAATTAAAAAGTTATTATAGGTTTGTTAGTTCGGCTAGAAAAACACACTGTCCATAATATTAATATACTGCAAAATATAAAAAACAAAACAATAAAATATATTTCCTGGGGTTGGCTGTTGTTGTTGGTGTTTTTTATAATATTGTATTTTTAAATATAAATTATACAGTCTACTAACATTCTTCCTGCTCTTGTGATTTCCTAACGCATCTGGCGACTTTCCTTTTGAATTCCGTATATGATTCCCGCCATTCTTTCTGAAAAAGAATTATGATATTAGAAAATGAGATAAGCAACACATTATGGTTCAAGTTCAGTATCTCAATCAACCGTTTTTTTAACATCATTTGACAAAAGTAAAAAATACAATTACAATTTTTTTATTGTTTTTGAGATTTACAACAAGCAACATGTGTGGTTTGTCGCTCCTAATTGAAGTTTAATTTCTACCAGTTGTAGTGTTCGGAAAATCGCGATTTTTTGCACAGTGACGAAACTGATAATGATCCGCATAACTAACAAATTTGTGAGACCCTAAAGGCTGTGGATTGTTATAAAACCAATATAAACAGTGCAACTGAGAGGTCGCATTCCTGAATGCTGGCAGTGAACAAAAAACACGTTCTATATTTTTTGTTTCTTGGCCGAAAATGTGTAAATAATATTTAAATAAATATAAACAAATAGGTATGGCGGACAATGACCCAGGTGAGGGCAAGTGTGTGAAATGTAAACAAAAGTGCTCAGAGGATTTTTTTAAATGTGATTCTTGTTTAAATGAAATTCAAAAAAATGCGCAAATCTAACCCCGTCCGAAGTGAAATGCATGCCTCTCCAGAAAAGGGTATTGTTGTTGATTTGTGAGGAATGTAAGACGTTTATTGCCAGAATGCCCCATATGATAAAGCTAATGGAAGAGATGAAAAGAGACATAGAAGCCATAAAAAGTGATATGAAAACGTCTTTGCCAAATAAATCTTATGCGACTATAATTCAAAATAGCCCAAAAATCAAAGAAAGAACAAGCCTACCTACGGTCGTTATTAAGCCTAAAGTAGCACAAAACACTCAGAAGAGCAAGAAGGATATCCAGGATTCGATAAATCCAGCAGAGTTGAAGCTTGGAATCAGAAACCTGAAAGAAACAAGGCAAGGAAACATAGTGGTGACATGTGAAACAGAACAAGACATGAAATTATTTAGGGAAGAAGCTGAAAAGAAATTAAATAAAAACTACAAAGTTGAGCTTCCGAAAAAAAATTTACCCAAATTAAAAATTGCGGGTTATTCAGGAGATGAATCAATTGAGAATTTAGAAGAAATGATTCGCAAGCAGAACAAATGGATTAATACATCAGACCACCTTAAAGTCACTTACGTTAGACGCATAAAGAATGAAAATAAAAATAATAAAAATAAACCGATCTCAACAATATACGCCGAAACTTCGGGGAACCTTTTGGAAAGGATGCTAACCTATGGAAAAGTTTACGTAGACTGGCAGCGCCTGCCAGTATATGAGAACCTGACAGTATCTCGCTGTTATAAATGTCAGGGTTTTGGTCACAAAAGCTCCAACTGTACCAAAATGGAGGTCTGCGGAAATTGTGCAGGGAATCACAGTACACTTGGATGTGAGAGGCAAATGAAAAAGTGTGTAAACTGCAAGATGGCCAATGAAAACCATAACCTACAGATAAGCACGGATCACTCAGCCCTTGACCCAGAATGTTCACCGTTAAAATACCATCTAGGACTATTACAAAACAGAATCGACTACAACTCATAAATAAATGGTATACAACGCTCAGGATGAGATGTTGGAACAATTAGGGGAAGAAAATAATCTACAAGGTAAAATGGTGGACCAGAAGGGTCTAGAGCAGCGGTTCCCAACCGGTGGGTTTTTTGGAGGGGTCGCAATGCCAATATCAATATATATTTTTCTGCATTTGGCAACACGCCTTTGCCTCCGTCTCAAAAGACGCGCAGTGTTGAATTGACCTTACAGACGAAGTGCCTAGCACAGGTTGTGAGTCACATGTTTTTCAACATAGGTAGCTATGCAAATGACTGAAGCATCAGAAACAGAAATTGTAGAGAATCCAAAAAGAGAAAATCGATCATCACCTTCAATCCCTTGAGAATGAAATGGGCGTTATTTTCTCGATTCATCTGAACAAAAAGCTGCAGTAGTAAGGTACCCGTTCCAAGCCTCGTTATATGTTGCCGACGTTCCTGATGCTGCTGGATAATTTTTTAGAGCTGAGGAATGATTCCACAGCATCTGCCTATTTCAGGAAAAATTCTTGACTGAAAGTTGGTGTGCCATGCATAGTTCATATTCTTATATCGCCCTGCATGTGCTTTCTTTTCGGATACTAATACCATTTGCCTCTACCTACCTTCGTGAAATTGGTTTTTCAACTCTCTTGTAAATTAGAACAAAGGCCAGAAATAGATTGGGCGTTTAAGATGACATAAAATTGGCTTTAACAAAAACTCAACCAAGAATTTCAAAACTTGTTACCGTGATGCAAGCTCAGTCATCACATTAACAAAATAAAAATTGACTTTTTGTATTTAGTTACGAAATATTAATATTTTTGTTAAAGATTTCTCGAATAAATGAAATTTAGTTTTTTATTTATTAATGGGTAGGGGGTCGCAACCTTATGAGCAAATCTGTAAAAGGGTCGTGAGTAAAAAAAGGTTGGGAACCACTGGTCTAGAGCTTATCAAAAATAAAAAAAATGCTTTTTTTAGTCTAATACATTTTAACATTAGAAGTCTAAATAAAAATATTGACAACTTGCTTACTTTTATAGAAGTATATAAATTACACTATATAGATATCATTGTGCTCACTGAAACCTTTCAAATTGACTCGATAAAAAACTGTAACATACCGGATTATCAGATATTCTATAATGAAGCTAGTTACAACAAAAATGATGGCACAATAATTTTGGCTAAGAAACATATCGATGTTAAATTTTCTATTACTCAATTGCAAAATTCAAGAGCGACTCTCAGTCACATAAATTTTGAACAAAACAACATAATATTTGGTATAACAGCAATATACAAACCACCACCTATCTCAAGGACAGATTTTATGAATGATATATATACCTATTTTGAAACTTTGACCTTTTCAAATATTGAAATTTTTGTGGGAGATGTCAATATTGACATTTTGGAAAAAAATGATAATCACGTTGCAAACTATCTCTCTTTGATGAACACACTTGGTTTTCGATCATACATTAATTCAGTTACGAGACTTTTATCAAAAACATGCCTAGATCATTTATTTATTAATACGAAATTGAAGTCTGGTAATATTAGTTTTGACTCTTATGTTATTGAGGAAGACATAACAGACCATAGCCCCATTGTGCTTCTGGTAAGTAAGAAAAAAATATCTAATGATAATCTAATATCTCCACTAGAAAGTAAAACGAAAACTAAGCTGAACATTCCTAAATTTAGGCAACTTTTGCAAAGTTTTGATTGGACGAGTGTAATGAATAGTAATAACTCAGAAACGGCAACAAATATTTTTTTAGAAAATTATACCCAATTGTTATCAGAAGCCACAGAAAAATATACTATTAAATATAAAAAATACAGAAAAATCAAGAGTTGGATTAGCAACGGTATTATTTCTGCAATTAAAACTAGAGATAAAATGAAAAAAAAACTATCGAGAAACTATAGCCATCAATTAGAAAAAGAATATAAAGAGTATAGAAATACTTTAAATAAATTAATTAATAGACAAAAAAATGAATATTACAGGAATCAAATTGAAAATAATAAGAATGATATGAAAAAGCTTTATAATGTAATTAAAGATGCAACTTATGAGAACAATACAAATAATAAAACTTCTTTAAATATTATGAATAAGTATAACAAAAGTTTCAATAATCCAAACGAATTATCAAATTTTTGTAATGATTATTACATTAATGTGGGGGTGGAAATGGAGAGGTCCATTCCAACACCTCAGGAAAAATACAAATTAGGACCCCCTCTGGCAAGCTTCATTTTTTTAAACCCTATAACCAAAAATGAATTAATTAACCATATATCAACTTTGAAGAATGGCAGTGCTCCGGGGTATGATGGGCTAAAGGCTGACATTATAAAACACACTCATTTAGAAATTATTGACCCCCTCTTATATATATTTAACCTTATCTTGGAAACTAGAATAATACCCCTTGCATTTAAAACTTCAATTATAACACCTATTCACAAATCAGGCTCTAAGACTAACATAATTAACTATCGACCCGTTAGCCTTATTAGTAACTTTGGAAAGCTTTTTGAGAAATGTGTAAAGGTCAGATTGGTTAACTTTTTACAATCAAATAAAATCTTATCTCCAAACCAGTTTGGATTTCTTGAGGGGTGCAGTGCCATAGACGCCATGCACAGATTGATAACAGAAGTGGTTAATAACTTGAATTCAAATAAAAAATGTTTAGCTGTATTTCTTGACTTGGCAAAGGCGTTTGACACTGTACCTCACAATGGACTTCTAGAAGTGCTCGAAAATTGTGGACTAAGGGGAAAAGCTCTGGGCTTGCTTGAAAGTTATTTGTCGGAACGAACTCAAATGGTTGAAGTGAATGATGTTTTGAGTGAAGGGCAAACTATAAAGATTGGAGTTCCACAGGGAACAGTCTTGGGGCCGGTGCTTTTTATAACATATATTAATTCTTTATTAAAATTACAAGTTGATGGAATCACTATTTCTTATGCAGATGACACTGCCCTTGTGGTCTCTGGAGATACATGGGAAAGTGTTAAATGTAAAACTACAAGCAGTATGATAAGAATAAGAAACTGGCTTCAAACATTTAAATTAACGCTAAACCTAACAAAAACACAATATATAGCTTTTTCACTCACTAGCGCAAATAGACCACAATATAATAACATTGTTGTTGATGATCATTGTATTGAAGAGACTTCCTCAATAAAATACCTTGGAATTGTGATTGATAAGTTTCTTAAGTGGCTGCCCCACATTGACTATGTCTCTAACAGAATTCGTAAACTTATTCATAAATTTTACCTATTAAGAGAATTCTTGAATAAAGAAACTCTTATCACAATTTATAAAGCCTTTGTAGAATCAATCATAAGATATGGAATTTTGGTGTGGGGTGGACTCTATAACAATAGCCTCTATAAATTAATAATAATTCAGAAATATATTCTCAAGATTATTTATAAGAAAAATCGATTATACCCTACACAACTGCTTTTCAATGAGGACATTCTGAGTATTACATCAATCTATATTTTAACAATTTGCTCATATGTTCATATTCACTCTAACTTGAAACAACTGGTGAACCATACTTATGGAACGAGAACTAGAGTAGATGGTCATATTAAACTTCCAATAAGCAAAAATAATCTTAATCTCAGATATGTGAATTATTTTGGCCCTAAATTTTACAATTTATTGCCAGGTGAAGTGAGAAATTGCGGTAAAATAAAAACATTTAAAACGCATAGCAAGAAGGTGATTTTCGAAAATCGACGTCAATTTGAAGGGTTTTTTGGCTAGCATTATTGGAGGGGAAATTGCCTTTAATTGCCTTTATTTCCTTGGATGTGAGAATTTTTATAGGATTAGGATTGGGATTAGTTAGTAAACGCACTGTTGTTGTTTATTGTTTTTTTTTTCTATAAAGTGAAAACTTATTAGCATTTATAAATAAAATAATAGGAAACACTGCACATACAGATGTTTACATCTAGGTGCAATATACAAAAAAGTCTGCGACTATTTTATATTGATTTAGGATTGGTGAATTCTGTATTTTTTTTTTTTGTAATATTTAAGAAAATGGAATAAACGCATTTCTAGAGGATGCTTCTCCTGGAAATAAAATGAAAAAAAAAAACAATGGTTTTAGGCTTCTTTTCTTTTTCATATCATTATGACTATTCTGAATGTTAACTTGTCTCTGATTTTATCAACGATAATGAGAGCATGAGACAGTCATTAAATTTCTCCTGGTTTCAAAATGTTCGTGCGCCAGTCTTGCTACTAGTTGATGTATGAGTAATTTTGGTCAAGTATGCCTTTAACTTCTTCGAACTGTCTACATTCCTATCAATCTACCCTGATGAACAAGTATTCCTTACAAGGCCAAGAACAGTAATAGCAAAATAATGTATTAAAAAGTTCTGGGATACCAAACTCTACATTGTACACTTATTCCCGTATAATTATTGTTTGACATCTTAGAAGACCATATACTTAGATAAGATAAACATGTTCTTACCGCTGCATCAACATTTGCTGGACTCTCGTCATTAGGATCTGCCAGCATTGAAATAACTGATATCAAGATGGTTTCTACAGTATGAACAGGTAACCACCGTTCTGATGCTTTTTCGTAACCGAACTTATCATCACCTGGTTCGTGAAGGATAGATATACAGACGTCACCGTTTTTTTCAACTAGAAAAATAGCAATGGTATAAACAATGTAAACATTTATATAATATGGTTCTTACTATTTGGATGCCATATTTCAGTAACAAACTTCATTTTTGGAGGCCTAAGGGGGTATTCTTTTGGGAAATAAAGATGACATTTGAAAAATCCTCCCTCACTGAAACAAAGAGACAATTATTAGTTGCGGTTTTAATTAGTAAAAATAAAAAACTTTGTTCTACTTACTATAACGTATCAGGTGGGCCTATAATAAGAACTTCCCATCTATAAATGTCATTATCGTCTATAAGGCCTGCAGAAAAACCCTCGACTGGGTTTTTATTTAATTCTGAAAAAGAGAAACAATTTAAAAATTTGTAGTTTTTGTCTAGAAGTAAAATCATTAAGGTGGGGTTTCTAGAAAATAATGGCAATTTTGTAAATTTCAACTGCATAGAAAGTAGGGTTTGCAATCTTTTCTGAAATCTTACAGTTACAATCACAGTTATCTCAAACAAAACTTCTCTGTTAATCATCAAAACTCAATTTAAATTTTTTACAATACATGTTACAATAATTTCTTCAGTCATGCTATGCTTAAAAATTCATAGGTGAATTAAATTTGAATTCTTAAAGAAATATGAAGAAAACTCCCAGGATATTCCTGATATTCAAATCAGCAGGGATAGTCTAAGTCAATTTCGTTTCTGTTCAAGGGCGAATGAAACATGAAAGTGTCTAAGAATAGTCACATTTTTCTAAGTCCTACTGAATCAAAATGCTGGTAGGGACCAGTCTTAGCCCAATTCTAAGTTGTCTATCAGAAGATTATTCAAGAAATATTTAAGTAACATTAGAAACGAGTTTTTTTTTTTCATTTTCATATAAATTATACCAGAATGATTCATATGATGATGAAACACCTGAATGATTCACCATCATTAAAACTTCTCCAATTGGCAATTGGCTTGAATAATGCATAATTGGAGATTGGTATCGGTAGGAAAAAGAAGCATGCAGCAATAAAAAGAAGTAATTATATATGGACTCCACTTTCAGAATTTTGTTAGACTCTGCTTCACAAATTGCCTAACTTTCCAGCAAAATGCTCTATAGGTTACAAAATCTAAATACACCTTCCAAAAGCCAATAAAATGGAAATCTAAAAGCTAGAAAGCGCCGTTTTGGAGCAAATTCAAGCTATCGGTATTCTCCGAAGACTTCAAAAAACTTGTTCAAAAAGGATATGATAATACGGCCAACTTGAAATAATGGTTTCAACTGACTCTTTTCAATACACCAACAATTAGAAATATGTTTTATTACTACTTTAAATGAGCTTTTATAATCAAGAATAAGATTTTTGGCAACATGAGGAAAATTTAACCCATTCAGATTTTCTCGAGGATTTTCTTCACAAGAAACTCTCCTATTTGGGCAGGGAAAGTAACAACTCACAAACATCAAAAGCAAGCATCGTTCGCAAAAACACTTGGCATGATGGAAGGCACCAAAAGTCTTTTAAACTAAGAAAAACTGGGGAAAATCTACCCATTAAAGTAAGATCTGGGTTGTTTGGTGGCCATTCGATATTCACATACATTTCCGAGTATATTCCTAAACCCATCTAGAATATTTATTATTCAAATAATTTGTTACATTTTTAATAATATGTGGGGTTGCCGGATCAACCTGTTCAAGTGAACTAGAGGGATTTCTTGCAAATATCCTTCAATTTTGTTGGTTAGAAATTGTAGGTATCTTTCACCCGTCAAACTCCAGCATAAACTAAAGGTCCCAAAATACAATTATTAGTAATACCGTGGCAAACGGTGATGGATCTACAACCAGACGAGTACATAATTTTTATTTGATCTGGATTTATTTGGCACCAATACTGCTAATTTGTTCTGCATTGTCGAAATATTTGATTTTGTTCCAGCTCCTGCAGCATATATTGGCAAAATTAGAATCTTTCCTGCTTATTGTTTTCGCTTAAAAACTGGAACTTTGTACATTTAAAAGTTCGAAATTTATATTTTTTTAGCGCATTTTGTTATCTTTCAGTGTGCCAGAAATAAAATTTTACTAGTAGTGGAAATGTAATGCGTTGGATGTGGGGTTTTCTACAAATGAATTATAGATAAGCTATATTCTTGTGAAAGCCTTAAAAAAAAAGGATATTAGCTTTAATTTTTACCTAGGAAACTTGGAAACATAATAAAACATTAAGCTCTCAGCATTTTTCCTCTGTAAAGTTTTTGAGTTTTTTAATTGATCAAATACATTAACAAGAGTGTTTTCAGTCGGTGTTTGACTGTTTCTGTATAATAATAATAATAATACGTTTTTTAAGGAAATAACAGTTTGGGACTTAAATTTGGAGGGAGAATCAAAGTAGCAAGGACGATACAAAATTTAATGTTAGGTGCCAAAAAAAGGGTAGTAACTTCAATGAAAACATTTCTGCTAGGAAGTATTTTTTAGAGAAGGGGACATAATTTTGATAAATTCTCAAAGTCTTTTATCTAGGTTTGAGCAAATTCACAATTTTATATTGGAAACAAAGCCTATGGCAATATGTTTAATAACAGAGATATGACTCACAGATTGTATAAACGATTTTGAGATAAGTAGGTATTTTGAATTATAAAGTTTACAGGGTGAACAGTGAAAACAGGCACACTGGTGGTGTAGTGATTTACATAAATGATTGTGTTGACTTGTTGAATATTGAACAATATGTATGTAATTGGTTTATTGTCTTGGAAGTCTCTATTTGTGGTAGGATTTACGTAACGTGATGTTGAGTTGTTCTGAATTTTTGAGTTTTTTTGAAGGTTGGTGTGACGCATCTGACGACATGAGTCATCCTGTTATTATAATGGGATACTTCAATATTAATTGGTTGGCTGAGTATATATATTCGTTGAGATTGAAGAAGGAGGTAGCTCAATAGATTTAGTTCTATCCAACAATAAAGTTAGTATCGTTAAGTGCCAAGTTATGGAAACACCCCGTATTAGTGATCATCATGTTATAAAAACCATCATTGGGTTGGATCAGACTCAGACCTACACAGACAAAGTAACTGTATGTACAGGGTGTTGCAATTTGGAGTGTTTCAATAGGAAAAACCTCGGGAAAAACACACTTCCAGACCAGATAGAGGAAAATTGACTTAAACGTCATGGGATCGATTTTTGTGAAACGTCAATTGTCAAAAACCGTATCACGATATCTTCAATGGTACCATTGATACAGGGTGATTTTCGATTTTTCCCTATTATGAAAAATGGCTATAAGTCTTTTATTTATCAATTTTTTTTATTTCTGTAAAAACATTATGGAGACACTTTTTTGAGCACAATCCAGTGGCGGACTCAGTTTTTTTCTATATCGTTCAAATTTCGAGATACCGACCAAATTCCGATATTTTCAAATGAAACACCCTAAATATTAATAGCTCATTGGATAGCTCTGTTTTTGCTGATTTCAATGATATAAAGTTCGATAGGTTTATCTCTAACAGTTTTCGAGAAAAAAAATTATATCTGTTTTTGTCGTAAGGACCAATGTGTTAGAAAAGGATTTTATATGTGTAAGGAAAAAGAGGAAGGTCTCTTTCTAACACATTGTTTCTTATGACTGAAACATATAATTTTTTTTTTCTCGAAAACTGTTGGAGATAAACCTATCGAAGTTTATCATTGAAATCAGTAAAAACAGAGCTATCCAATGAGCTATTAATATATAGGGTGTTTCATTTGAAAATATCGGAGTTTGGTCGATATTTCGAAATAGGAACAATATAGAAAAAAATTGAGTCTGCCACTGGATTGTGCTCAAAAAAGTGTCTCCATAATGTTTTTACAGAAATAAAAAAAATTGACAAATAAAAAACTTATAGCCATTTTTCATAATAGGGGAAAATCGAAAATCGCCCTGTATTAATGGTACCATTGAAGATATCGCGATGCGGTTTTTGACATTCGACGTTTCTCGAAAATCAATCCCATGACATCTAAGTCAATTTTCGTCTATCTGGTCTGGAAGTGTGTTTTTCCTGTTAAAACACTCCAAATTGCAGCACCCTGTACAAGAGGTAAAATAGATTACCAACAGGTGAATATTGAATTGTCAAATATCTTGTGGAACTACAAAGCGGATTTCAATGATATAAATGCTAAGTATCTTTATTTTTATAATATATTGGGTGTTTTGAACAAAGTTGCTCCAAAAACTGATAAGTTCATTAAACAGAACTATAGAGAATGGTATACCGATAGAGTAAAAATAAAAAATGACACTACAAACTAAAAACAGGGATAATAGTTATAAAACGTTTAAATCAAATAAAATGGTAGAAAATAGAGAATATTATAAAGAATGTAGAAATGTAAGAATCATAAGGAAAGAGAAGGAAGTTTTTTACCACAAGAAAATTGGCATGGCAAAGAATACCCAAACAAATGTGGGATACATCGGGTCAATTTATTAAAGATAAAAATAAAAAAAACAGGAAAAATAGAAATCAATAATGAAATTATCACCAACCTCACAGATATAGCCAAAAATCTAAATATATTTTTCCTACGAGCGTGCGCAAAGTAGTACTTTTCCGCACGCATTTCCGGGCTCAAAGTTACACTTTTCCGCACTCAGTGCGGATACAGGCCTTATCCGCACTGAGTGCCGAAAAGTAATTATAATTGTCAAGCAACAATAAGTGCACCTGTCGACTTTGACACATGATGACAAATTTTTCCTCTATTTCTATATCAGCTAACATCTATACAAACACCAATTATAAATTAACTTTGACACATCAGATTTGTTCTCTATTTATATGCAAAAATCTACAAACTTTCTCATCAAATTTAAACGCTTTAAGATGAACAGCTCTGACGAGGATTTTCTGTTATTTTTTTTTGTTATGTAATTTTTTGATAAATGCATAGGTTCCCTTCAAGTTAATTAAAAATAATTAAACAAATTATCGGTTTTTTTTTTCAAATTTTTGTTATTACCTACCTGATATGAAGCTCGTAGGAAAAATTTTGTTCCTAACACGTGCGCAAAGTGTCTTTTCCGCACGCAAACACGTATCCGAACTCCGCTTCGCGTCGTTCGTATAACTGTGTTTGCGTGCGGAAAAGTAACACTTTGCGCACTTGTTAGGAAAATAACTATTGTCAACAGCATAGAAACCATAATTTCACATATAGACAAGGGTGATGATAACCCTAGCCTCACTCTAACCTCTTTTGGGTTGATAGATTTCAATGAGTTGAAAAGCATCATTACCTCCTTGCCCAATAAAGGAAGTCCAGACGATATAACAGCAAA